TGTACATTTGTTGTCCCTCAACTTTAATATTATATAAAAAATTGAATTTAACGCCATTTGGAACTTTACTAAGCGAAATCAAATGTTTTTAGCAACTATATTAGCAAACATGTTTTTTGTACGAGTGTTTTATACCAGCGTGGCAAAACTGTGTATACACAGAATATATTCTCCTGTGTCACAGTAATAAAAATTAGTAAAGGTACCAGTTGTACTTTGTTTGGTTCTCAAAAGTAAGTATCCTAGTAATGGTTTTAAGGGCAAAAATACACATTTTTATCTTTAAAACAGTAAAGAGGTTATGTTCTAAAAACATACATTTTTCCCCTGGGTCACACGTCTCCTGGATCACATATTGTGTGACCCAGGGGAAAGTTATGTGAATCAGGGGACAATTCCAGAGAAATAAATTATAATATATTTTTGAAATAATAATAAACTTATAGAAAAGTTTTAAAAACAACTTTTTCTGTTTCTGACAATAAGTAGCCAATTTAAAATAATGTTCTCCACCTTTTTAATAGTAATTTTCCTAGTCAATGTATTTTGCCTCAAAGAAGCTGGAAAATTTTTTTTGGTAGTTTAACGAGACAATGTTTATATTGACTTTTTTTTATTATTTTATTAATATTACTAATAACTAAAACTTTTTATTAATTTATTGCTCTTTAAATTGGACAAGCTGGGCCCAAATAAAAAAATCGAAAAAAGACGTTTTTATTACGCATTAGAAGACAATTTCTGAAACTTACTTACTTAATGGACATTTTTTAAATAGGGAATATATTAAATATACTTATGTAGGTAAGAAAGTTTTTGCTTTTACTTAGTTTTGTACTCAAACTTTTTTTATAAGTAATAAATTTATGTTCTTTTTTTGAACAAATCCTAGTGTAAATAAAACGTTAAAAGGATTATTAACAATCAAAAAATATATTTTCATAATGATTAAGCATTTTTATATAAGTTTTTTTAATATGTTAGTAAATCTGTGACCCATGAGACCATTTTTTTTTCTTTTTTACTTTTTTTATGGCTTATTTAAAAAAATCCAACTGCCCACTTTTAGGTGTTAAATAACACCCCTCAATAAACAAAATTTGGAAAAAGAACAGGTTTGTAGATTAAGTTTCCGTTTTTACCTACAAAAATTTTGAAAACGACCCATATGATTACTCCCATTTTAAAGCTGTGTAGGTTAAAACATAAAACAGTTTAAGCTGAATTTAAACCTCAATACACAAAACACAGATATAATCGTTTAAATGGCACCCCCAAGAGTTAAATTATGTACCCCCGTAAGGATTTGCCATGAAACAAAATTATTGTGCCAGTTGTATCTATTATTTCCATCCGTTGTGTAAGTGGGAATCTTAATAAGTTTAAAACAGATGGAACTTATGTTATGTAAGGGTAGTATAAAGGAATTTTAGGCAGAGGCTCTTTTGTTGAGAAAATTACCGAAAAAAGTAAATCAAATTTGTGAATAAAATTTGCTGAAAATGTATACAAATATAGAGGAATAAACATTTTATTTTAGTTTTTTATTTTACATAATATAATTAGATAAATTTTAGATTTTTTAACTTATATTATATATAAATTTCGTCAAAGAAAAGTTTAATATAAGTAAGTTTTAAAAACTTCAAAATTATGTTATAACTTTACTGAAGTACCTACTGAATAAAATCCAATCAAGATTAAATTTAGAGAAATATAAATTTATAATTAACTTTAAAATAAACTTTTTAAATTGCGTACTATACATTTAATGATGGCTGAAGTTTATTAAAGATCATGTCAAATGTTCGAAGATTGAAAGCATATCTGATACTCAAATACTAAATTATTAAATAAAGTTTAATTTTCAGCGAAGTTTTGACTTAATAAGACGTATTTGAAATTAATGGATAGGTAGTTATTTAGGATTAGAAGTTTATTTCTTCGTTTACTTCAATAAAACTTTATTTATATACCTGCTATTTTATAAATTAATCCCGGCGCATTCGCCATTTTTAACTAAGATATTAAAACTCTGTATACAAAGATTTTAATCGGGAAATATTAATAATAGTAATATACACTGCACGGCAAAATTAACGCATAATAAGTAAAAAAATTCTAACTCGAACGTAAACTGAGATATAAGTTAAAGTATTTTTATCCAAAATTTTATAAAGATAGGTAAAGGCGTTTTAGAGTTGGATTTTTTTTACTTGTTACACAGTAAAAAAATTTGCCCGTGTAAATTTTTTAGTGTAGGGGTAAAAATATTAGAGTTGATTTGTGTAAAAGTTACACTTCAAAATACACTAGGTAGCATTTAGTGCTTATTAACTTTATTAAACACATTTAAAGAATATGAACATTATTGATTGGTACATTCACATTATTTATTATTAAAATAAATCAAAAGGTTAGAAAAACTTAGTGTTTATTACCCCTTAATGTGTTAAATAGTGACAAAATGTTCACTACAGTGCATGCCAATTTCTTTGTCTGTTTTGATGTTACTAAGAGCTCTTTTTCTTTACACTACTAGTGCACATTGTATCACAATTAAAGTTAAATTACACCAATAGTGGCAAAATAGACTGAAAAAACTGGTAATAACCGAAATGCGTTTTAAAATGTTTGGTTTGTACCTATCTACCTACGCAGTGCATATTCGGAGATACCGCGTTGTGGCATTTTTGTTGTTAGATTTTAATTACGGTGAATCCATAAGGTGACATTCTTATTTTTTAGTATTATACTTCCTTTTTCCTTAAGCCTTAATACTTAATAAATACCAATATGTTAAAAGGATGTCCATACCCTATATTATATATCAATAATTTACGGCAGTAGGTCGGGTACTTGTAACATTAATAATATAAATACATACACTTGATATCCTTTTCATTTTCAAGCGTAATGGTTGTTATATTTAGATATACCTGGGTCAGAATTTCTCAAACGGGCCACCTGAATTAGGTCAAAATTAGTTTTTGATTGTAGATACATTTTTTCGATAGTATTTTAAATCACTAACACAAATCCTAAAGGATTTTGTAAAAAAAAAATTTTCAATTGACATATTCATGATATTAAAAGTAAAAGTTTTTAGTAATTAAAAAATAAAAAAAAATCATTATGGCTAAACTAATTATCCGATTCCAACGATTTAACTAGCGTTGGAATCTTGTTTTGACATAGATTCTTTGTTATTTTTTTCAATTGTAAAATTTTCATTAAGGTCGATTTTTTTTTGTTTTTTTTATAACAAATTCGGAAATAATTGGCTTCTGCGCCAGCTATCGACTCGAAAAAAAAAACACATATACTCCAATCATTTTTCGAAATTATGCTGCTGAGAAAAAAAATGGCCCGCAGGTTCCAGACCACCGTAAGACGTCGCGTCACAAGCGCGTACAGCGTACACGGTTCGGAGCGTGAGCTGACACCGCGCGCGGCCACAAAAGGACGAATAACTTTTTGTCAACCTGCGGGCCATTTTTTTTCTCAGCAGCATAATTTCGAGAAATGATTGGAGTATATGTGTTTTTTTTCTCGAGTCGATAGCTGGCGCAGAAGGCAATTATTTCCGAATTTGGTATAAAAAAAACAAAAAAAAATCGACCTAAATGAAAATAGGACAATTAAAAAAAATAACAAAGAATCTATGTCAAAACAAGATTCCAACGCTAGTTATATCGTTGGAATCGGATAATTAGTTCAGCCATAATGAATTTTTTTATTTTTTAATTATTAAAAACTTTGACTTTTAATATCATGAATATATCAATTGAAATTTTTTTTTTTACAAAATCCTTTAGGATTCGTGTTAGTGATGTAAAATACTATCCAAAAAATGTATCTACAAACAAAAACTAATTTTGACCTAATTCAGGTGGCCCGTTTGAGAAATTCTGACCCACCTACATTTTTATTAATATTATGGAAAATTTGTACACGTGAGGTAAATCCCCGACATACAGCTGCCTGACGCCTCTCTACCAATGGGATCACCCATTTTTTATAACAGAAAAATGGATTACTGATGAATTATCAAGATAATTCATTGCTTACAAGTTGACAGCCAGTAAAACATTGCATTGATCTAAAACTTTTACGTTTTAAGAAACCATTTTGCTTAAGACAAATATAAAATTATATTTTAAAAGGCACCGATTTTGATAATTGTCATAGATTTTTGTTGCAAATAAATGTTTCTCTTTATTTACCTTTTAGTTTTATTCACTACCACCAATAGGTTTTACTCAAATAATAATGTTAATTTACACTAGAAGTTTCACTAAAAGAGTAAAAGTACCATTCTAAAATTAGAACTTTTCCAAAGTAATGTTAATTTACACTAAACAAAAGTGGGATTTTACCCAGGAAGTGTAGAAGTACACGATTTTAGGTAAATTAACACTTTTTAATACAGTGTAAAATTACTTTATCCTCAGTGCTATAGTGATAAATCATACTTGCTTACTTGGGGAAAATTACACTCTAATTAGTGTTGCTTACAGTTAATTTTTTTTACTGTGTATGCGTTAATTTTGACGAGCTTGCAAAAATAACAATACAAGTTTATATGAACTTTTATGCTTTAAATCATTGTTTTCGAGATACAAAGTGTAAAAGTTAATAACAAAGTATAGTCACGCCACTGATTTTTTATAAATTTTATATAATAGTTATATTAAGCAATTAAAAATACATATTTTTTGTCTCTTACATTTTTTCTCTATATTATTTAATTAAAAAAAAATACATAAATAATAAAGACAAAAAGTTTTTAATAAGGTACCTAATCTAAAAATATTATGCAACTTATAAAAAAGCAGTAGAATTAAATATCTAGATGAGATAGGTCCTTTATCCATTACTCAAAACCTAAACAGTTTTAACAAATTCGGTCCAGGAGTTTTGAAAATTTTAAAATATATATTTTACAAGTTCATATAAAATTTTGTTATACCTAATTATTTAAACAAATTTTTACTTACGTGTGCCATCAAATCTTGTTGCTATAGTATCCAAAAATGTATTTTGGGGCGCTAACAGCCCCTTTCGTGCAGGCATGGGGCCTGGGAATTTGCTTCTGAAAAATAGAAATAAAATAATTAAAAAAAATTTCATAGCTTAGTTATTCCGTTTTAGCTGAATAAATAAATTAATAAACCTAGGATAATATTTTGTGAATTTTAAAATTTACGAGAGTTTCAAATACACAATCTTAATGTGAAATCTATTGGGTTGGTCAGTTCGGTAACGCATCGTTTAAATATACAGAACGTCAGATTTACTTGTAAATGTACTTTAATTGGGACAATACAACCACTAAATTTTCCCGATCAAAATCTGCTACACTCTGTGTATTAAATAAAAAAAAAATATTTTAATTATTGAAAAAATTAAATTAAACTTTTTCTTTTTAGTTTCACAATCTATTAAAAATTGTTTGAACATTGATCAGTTCAAAAAGTTTGCCTTTATCTAAAGAAAACTGAAAGGGACGAACAATTTTTTATCGAGAATCCAAGGTAAGTTTTAAAAATTGTCTAGAAAGTTTGTGTAGTTTTTGCTCGATGAATAAATAGTTCAATGTTTTAACATCATAATTATTTGTAAACTGTTATACATATATGTGTACTATTAATTCTTTTGCATACAGGTATTTAATCAAGTTAAATACATAGACCAAATAATTCATCTTGAAAATTACTAATTTACTGAGTAGGTACCTATTTAACTAACTTGACTGCTTGAGTGCATCTAGTTAGGGTTGTATTAATTACCCCGTCTTAATTGTGTTCTAATTGCCATAAATCCACATCGACGTCATGATTTAAGACCCATAAATTTGTAAATGTACATAATATGTTATGTGTGTAATATTTTACTTCTAAAAATTTACAATGTAGGTACATTTTTAACTCTTGAAATACCACAGCTAAACGCTCGGACACGTATTACTTTTGATAAATTAACTTTTTTTCTTTAATTTGGAACTGATGTGAGGGTCCAGCCAAATTGAATTTTTTTATTAAATTTATACAGGGTGTTTTCAATATCTTTGAATTTTGACCAAACCAAGCACGGATTTGTAATCTACGACCAAAAATTAAGTTTGCGTGTCCGAGCGTTTAGCTGTGATATTTTCACCTCCCTACAGTGCTATTCTATGAAGAAAAAAATATTTTTCCTTCCATGTAACAATATTCGTACCAAATTTAAACCCTGGTCTCCTAGAAGGTAAATTATATGATTTTCATAAACCTGTTTTAGTTTTTGCTTGTTTTTTTTTTAATTTCATTGGGTAAAAAGTTGTCTTTTTGATGTAGTAGTTTTGCTACAAAATTTTGAGTTTCCAGGATAAAATTTTCAAATGCCTTAAAGCCAAGAATAAAAAAAATAAAAAAAATTTTACAAAGTAAAAAAATATTTGTTAATTTTAACCAAATATTAGGCAGATTTTATATTAATCCAGGTCCACATAACTTTATATTAAGTTTACAACCAACATTTTTTAGATTTAATAACAAAATCCTGTCAATAATTAAACCATATATGGTTGTAGTAGAATTCAACCATATATGGTTGTAGTAGAATTCTGTGTGATTATTTGTGTGTTATGTTTGTGTTCATTTATGTAGGTATGAGTTAATTTTTTTGTTTAATAAAGCTAAATTTTTTAACAAAATTCTTTTTATTTAGGTTCCCAATTTCCATTAAATACTTTTGTTACTGGGTCTACAAAAAGGTTTGTAAAGTTCCTTTTTGAAAATTACAAGAAAATAAAAAGAATTTTGATAAAAAATTTAGCTTTATTAAACAAAAAAATTAACTCATACCTACATAAATGAACACAAACATAACACACAAATAATCACACAGAATTCTACTACAACACTGATGTATTTCGTAACTTTAACCCACTTTACTCTACAAATTAGAATAAAGTAAGCAGAAACATAAGTTGCAGACGCTGAATTCAGTTGAACTTGTTGATGCGTATTGTCAGTGGAAAATGTTTTGATTCACTGCCTGAAGTTACGTGTACCTACTTTTTGAACGAAATAAAACATTAAAAAAATTATCTGTAACCTTTTGAAATTAACAAAATGCTTACAAAATTGCATATTACCTTGACGAAACTTTCGGTAAAATATTTTTCTTTGTTAAAAAAATTACAAACCCTGGTTTTATACAAAAATTTATGTTAAAATTTTACAAAATAAAATTAAAAACTACAAACTCATGTAAACAAATCTAACAGTGTATGGTAAAAACCTAGTATTCAAAATTGCCTGATTGCCCACATCGCATTGATTATACAAACGATTAAACTTGTCATTAAATATCAGCTTAATAAATAAAACAATTTATAACAATTAATAACTAATTGACACCAGAGATTAATTTATATAAATTATTTGATTAATCTCTAATCTCGTATAATACATTTATAAACCTTTTTAAACCATTTTTTAACTTTCCATTTTTTTGGTAATTATTTTGTTATTAGTAATAATCTTGACCCGTTTTAATATTGAAAAACTTTTAATAAACGTTTCATTACGTTCTCTTTTTTTATTACCAATTTTCCTCACGAATGCACAAAAGCTTCAGTTTTAATTTCTCTGTATACGTTTTAACAAAGTTTACCTTTTAATTATACTTGGAGATTACTTGCGCCAGCGAAAGCGCAAACTTTGCTTGTTTAAAAACGCAAAACGCCTAAAAAAACATACCGGTTAATAAATATTGATATTCTAAAACTGTTATGAAAACTGGCTTATGTTCTTTAACCACTGTTTTATTCATTATTTTGCGAGTATTAAACGTTTAAATATATTTGGTCAAACTAAATATTTCTACGTATTTAATTTTCTTAGTTTCTTAATTCATTAGACCAGTCAACCTGACCCTAGTCTTTAGACACGTGATGTTCTATCATCTCGCCGTTGTTGGCTTACCTAGTTAGTATATAAGCTGAGGAGGTGTTCTGTTTTAAGTGTGTTCCACTACACCAAGTTCCCAACACTAATGAGACCCACGTACAAGATGACTAAACTTTATCTTGTTGACATGGGAAATGTGGTTATATTTCTAATAAATTTTATCGCGAGGTCCTAAGTTGAACAATTTAACGGTTGCACGCTTTTAAACATGGGTATCTCGTCCCAACGTTATATGCTTAAATGCTTGAAATAGCAACACTAAAGTTTCATCATTATGACGTCCCAAATGGTATCTCAAATCGTATGTTTAATGTCTCACTATAACTATATAACTCTGGACGCGTTATAGGATTAATAAATATATAAATTTATTAAACTCCAGAATGATTTCTGTATTTCTCTTGGTAAATGATAAATTACACAGCTAATCAAAATATATCAAAATTAACCTGGTTTATTTTGGACATTTTGAACAAAGGCATCTAATGCGTTAAACCTAATGGAAACTTAATAGATACGAATCAAATTCTCGAAGCAAATATATATATATATATATACAAACAATTTATCAGTGTCAAAATTGTAAAAAAATTTTTTTAACAATATTTCATATTTATGAGAGGAAATCCTGGGTTGAGTTTTTACCGGTTTTCCAATTAACAGTGGAAATCCGAATGAAGAAATAAACTCAATACAGTCCCTGTAAATATAAATTGTATCTGTTAGATACAATAAATACACATTTACGTGAAAATTGTAAACACTTCAATTCAGTAAAAACTATAAAATAAATAAATTGTCTAAATTTAAACCGCATTTAGCATTATTAAAAGCGTTGACTAAGAAAGTCTCCACTCAACAGTAAAATACCAAGAACCGGTATTATATTATGTATTATATGTATTAGGGTGTTTTTTTTTCTTGCTGACACATGAAAATTTTGTTTTTTAGGTTGAAAAAAAATCCCCTGAAAACTTGCAGAATATTTGGTTATTAAATTGCTTATATCTCTTAAACAAAGCACTTTAGTGATATGAACGTGAGAACCTTTTTTGTCATAAATTAATTAATTTTCTACAACTTTTTTATTTGAACTTTTTCGGTAAAACCAGTCATTCGCACGATTTTCTCAAAAATATGTGAGAAAAAGTGAAAAAACGACTTTTGGGGCTACTACAATCAACGTAAATAAATCAAAAACAAAATTGATGCAGGGCCTTTTAAAACCCGTGAATACTATGCAGGAAATTATGGTGATAAAAATTATAATTCAAAACCCGGCCAAAATATAGAAATTTAAAGTAAAAATGATTAAAAATACATGCTTTTTATATGGAAAAACTACAAAATTAAAAAGGAAGTACTTAGAATCAAAATTAAGGGCTCAAATTTTCAGGGAATTTTTTTTTCATCCTTTCGTTTTAAATGAAACACCCTAATATGTATATAATATTATTGTTGGCGTTTTTTAGGAATATAAAAGTATTCGATTTATGTCGGTTATGTTTGTACAACAATTGTTTTTTGTTAGATTTCTTAAATATAAATTTTATTAGGTAAAGTTATCATTACTTAATTCTGCACCAACAAATATACTACCGAATTTGATCCTTTGGCAAAACATGAAAATGCAACGATTAAGTTCTTGAATTTTATTTACAATTAAAAACTCAATAATTCACCATGATCACTTAGATAAAATACAAACACAAACGTAACTATATAAGCACATAGGCTTTGAGTTTCTTAATCGTTGATATAAGGAATAATAAATCGAAATCGAGTACTAAACCAAAGTTTTTTAGTTTTTACTTGCAACGCAAAACACAAATAACGTGCTTCTTTAGCGTATAAGACAAAGGCAATATAAAGTAAAACAAGGATCGCTAGATTTTTCTCTTTCAAAATAATAATATTCACTCGTAACATTTTGTACAACTCACCCTTTGTCGACATAAAATGCCATAATAAAAGAAATAACTAAACAATAAATTTTACAATTAAAGCTAAATTTGTATAAATGCGATTGTTAAACTAAAACAATCTGCATATTACGAACCGTTCTATTAGGTACATTAATTTCAGGCATACATTTACTGCTAATAACATAACAGATATTCGTTAATTAGTCGCAATT